CAGACTTCTAGGGCCTTCCTATAGCTTTCTGCTCTCAGATGCTCAATCCAGGGCCTCTGCCCACAACCCTGGCACTACCTTGCCTCTTCTGTAAATGGGAGGTTGTGCAGTTACTGACCAGTTACAGGGACTGACTCCCTAACTATAGGCCTGCCTTCATGCCTGACCCCTAATCATCACTTCAAGAGCTCAAAGTAATGACTGAGAAATGTGTGCCAGCCTCAGAGGCGTGGGGTAGTAGACTGCACATAATGGCCGCTGTCTCTCCTCCGGAGCCATCCTTCATCTCTCTCCAAACTTCACCTCTGCAGTTCATCTCTCCCACACCAGAGACAGCAGGACATGGGCCTGCTAGCCTCACGCTGGGTTCCCACTCATCAGCTGAAGAATTTTGTTTTTGTTTTTCTTGTTTTGTTTTGTGCCAGGGTCTGGGCACTGCCCTTAGATCTTTTGCTCAAGGCTAGCACTCTACCACTTGAGCCACAACTTTACATCTGTTTTTTTTTTTTTTTTTGCTGATTAATGGAGATAATTGTCTCATGGACTTTCCTGTCTAGGCTGGCTTTGAACCACTATCCTCAGATATCAGCTTCCTGCACAAGTAGAATTAACAGGCATACGTCACCAATGCCCAGCTATCTACAGCTTCTTAAAAGTAAGAGGTCTACCCTACTGGTAGGCTTTGAAATTACAGTAGTCAAAATAGGACGAATTGTTTCTTCTGTTCAAAAATCTGTTGCTAGCCAGGCGTTGGTGGCTCACACCCGTAATCCTAGCTACTAAGAAGGCTGGGATCTGAGGATCATGGTTCAAAGCCAGCCAGGCCAAGGAAAATCTGTGAGACTCTTATCTCCAATAAACCATCAGAAAACCAGAAGTGGCGCTGTGGCTCAAGTGGTAGAGCACTAGCACTAGCTGAAGAGCTGAGGGACAGTGCCCAGGCCCAGAGTTCAAGCCCCACAACCAACAACAACAACAAAATCTGTTGCTAGGGGTAGCCAATGAGTCAGATGCCAGAGCCCCAAACCCTTACAGCTCCACAGGGAAGATCCCTAGCAGCTGTGGTGTTTACAAAATAGAAGTGCTTTAGACGTGCTGTGCTTATGTGCTCACGGCTGCTCAGGGGTGGTTTATGCCATCCTGAAGGGATCTGCAAAGCCTTTCCGCTTAGAAAACAGGTGACTCAAGGATTGCCCTCAAAGGGGAACACCTGGTCCTGCTTGTCTTGTCTGCCACCTTTCCTGGGAGCCCTATCTGGTATAAGAATTCTGCTAATATTTGGTCTTTGTTTTCTTCGTGGGCTTGTTAAATTTTTTCCTTCTGAATTGGAGTACAGCAAGCCTATAAAGTGCCCTGTGGAGTTGGACTGTGGTCCACTGAAACAACACAGATGGTGTCCTGTCCATCTAAAAATCTTTCACAGAGGATTTCAAACTGCCACAGTTCACTCTGCCCAGCTCTGACTGCTTTCTGCGGAGAGGTCCTTAAGTATGTCCAGCAGCTGGAGATGACCATCTGAGACCACAAGCCTGGGGACAAGTGCCCTGGGACAGGAAGGACAGAGTCATTCAAAACAATCCTGGTACAGGCTGTTCTTCAATAAAGGCTGATTAACTTCTTAAAACAACAACAGACTAATGGCACTGAGGAGTATCTGAGAGGGGGGATGAGGGGGAGTTAGGCTTCCTCAGATAGAAGGCTTAAAAAAAAAAAGGCAGATACTGCTGGGCACTAGTGTCTTGGAATTTTTTTTTTGGTCCGATCGTGGGGCCTGAACTCTGGGCCTGGGCGCTGTCCCTCAGCCCTTCAGCTCAAGGCTAGCACTCTACCACTTGAGCCACAGTACTACTTCCAGCTTTTTTTTTTCTGCTTATGTGGTGCTGAGGAATCGAACCCAGGGCCTCAGGCATGCAAGGCAAGCACTCTACCACTGAGCCACCTTCCCAGCCCTGGGCACTAGTGTCTCATACCTATAATCCTAGCTACTCAGTAGGCTAAGCTCTACTGATAGCATTTTTGAAGTTGCTCAGGCCAGATAATCTGTGAGATTCTTATCTCCAATTAACCAGCAAAAAGTTGAAGTAAAGTTGTGGCTCAAGTGGTAGAGTGCTAGCCTCGAGCAAAAAGCTGTGAGTTCAAGTACCAGTAATAGAACATATATACACAAAAAGACATAACACATGGCAGATAACATGTTCATCATGGCACATCATCCCATAATGCCCTGGGCTCCCACTCAATCAATAAAAAGAGCTGGGGCTGGGAAGGTGGCTCAGTGGTAGAGCGCTTGCCTTGCATGCATGAGGCCCTGGGTTCGATTCCCCAGCACCACATAAGCAAAAAGAAAAAAGCCGGAAGTGGCGCTGTGGCTCAAGTGGTAGAGCACTAGCCTTGAGCTGAAGAGCTGAGGGATAGTGCCCAGGCCCAGAGTTCAGGCCCCATGACCAGACCAAACATATATATATATAAAATAAAAGAGCTGGAGGTGATATCTACACAAGCCATCAACCAAGCTACAATTAGGGGAGGAACCTCTGCATTATACTAACTGCAAAGGGAGAGGCCTCCATTGGATTTCTAGTTCTGGGGCACCTCTCTACAGAGAACCTATATTCTACTTTCACTTCCAAATAACTTACTCTTAAAAAAATAAATAAAATAAAGCAACAGCCTTCAAATTTCAGGGCCTGGGCACTGTCCCTGAGCTTCTTTTTGCTCAAGGCTAGCACTCTACCAGTTGAGTCACAGTGCCCCTTCTGGCTTTTTCTGTGTGTATGTAGTCCTAGGAATCGAATCCAAGGCTTCATGTATGCTAGGCAACAGGCAACCATTTGCAAAGCCAGTGGGAAACTAACAATATATGGCTCAGCTGGTGAACACTCACATCACTGATGGTGTGTGAGGCTCAGAGTCTAGTGCTCTCACTTGGCTGTTTCACTCAAGGCTAGCACTTTACCACTTGAGCCCTACCTCAGCCTCTCCAGATTAGTGACTTTTAGTCAACTAAAAGCAAGAACCGCCAGGTGCCAGTGGCTCACACCTGTAATCCTAGCTACTCAGGAGGCTGAGATCTGAGGATCACAGTTCAAAGCCAGCCTAGGCAGGAAGGTCTGTGAGACTCTTATCTCTAATACACCACCAGAAAACTGGAAGTGGCGCTGTGGCTCTAGTGGTAGAGCGCTTGCCTTGAGCTGAAGAGCTGAGGGACAGTGCCCAGGCCCAGAGTTCAAGCTCCATTACCAACAACAACAACAAAAAAGAGCCCAAAGCCTGGAGTTCAAGCCTCAGTACTGGTATACACACACACACACACACACACACACACACACACACACACACAGATGAACAGTCATGCACCATAAAATGACATTTCAATGAGTGATGAACTTCATAGACTACAGTTGGTTATTGTTAAGTAACACAATACCGTATTGCCTAAGATTTCCAGTATTCTTGACAAATTGGAAGACATGGTAACAGTGTCCCCACATGACTGCATGACCGTCATCTAGTACTTCAGTCACCACTGTGTTCAGACAGCCAGCATGACCACACTTTGTTAGTCTAGGCCACTTCCTCTTTCTTTCTTTCTTTCTTTCTTTTCCAATCCTAGGGCTTGAACTCAGGGCCTGAGCTTCTTTTGCTCAAGGCTAGCACTCTAACACTTGGGCCACAGCGCCATTTCTGTTCTTTTCGGTGCATATGGTACTGAGGAATCGAACCCAGGGCTTCATGCATATTAGGCAAGCCCTCCACCACGAAGCCACCTTCCCAGCTCCTTGCTACTTCCTCTTACATCGCAATGCTCAGGAGCCAGTGTCATGTCTCATTCCACACTGAGTGGCCACTACTTCTCTTTTTTTCTTTCCTTTTTTCGTTTTTAACATTGGGACTTGAACTCTGGACCTATACACTATCCCTTAGCTTTATTATTTTTGCTCAAGTCTGTCATTTTATCACTTGGACCACGCCTTCATTTCTGGCTTTTTACTGGTTAATCAACTGGAGATGAGAAGCTATGGACTTTTCTTTCAGGCCTGGCTTCTGACCAGCATCCCCAAGCTCAGCCTCCTAAGTAGCTAAGAGGTTACTAGTAGGAAAGGCACCCAGCCTTATCTGGTCTCTGTGGGCTCCTTCATTTTTTTTTTTTGGGTCCGGTCGTGGGGCCTGAACTCTGGGCCTGGGCGCTGTCCCTCAGCTTTTTTTTTTTTTTTTTTTTTTAATCCGGTCGTGAGCCTGAACTCTGGGCCTGGGCGCTGTCCCTCAGCTCTTCAGCTCAAGGCTAGCGCTCTACCACTTGAGCCACAGTGCCACTTCCGACTTTTTTTTTCTGCTTGTGTGGTGCTGAGGAATTGAACCCAGGGCCTTAGGCATGCAAGGCAAGCGCTCTACCACTGAGCCAACTTCCCAGCTCATGGGCTCCTACATTTTTGACCTCTTAGTCTTAACAGTTTATAGGAAGAAAGGAACTCTGTGAGGACTGTGATCTAGTGGTAATCTCAGGTGAGCACTGGCAGAGCCCCAGCCCCTTTCTTCTGAGGCATACCTTGGTCTGAACCTCTGACTTTGTGGCAAAGCCTGGAAAGTCATAGGACTCCCTTCCTCCTACTAGGCCAGCCAGCGACCTTGGGACTCCAGTCCGAGGAGAGGCTTGGCAAAGCAGGTGTGTGTGTGTCTGTGTGTGTGTGTCTGTGTGTGTGTGTCTGTGCACATGCGTGCATGTGGGCAGATAGAAACCAGTCATACTCAAGCAGCAAGAAGTGCCTGAAATCAGAGTTAAGTTGGGAAGTACAAAACATGGACACCTAGAAGGAGGTCAGAGGTATTGTGGGGTACAGGGCAACTGAGAGGGAAACAAAAGTCCATGCTGTGGGTGACCAGGCCCTTCCGCCAGAGCTGGTCACTTCTGCCTTTGGAGCTAGTTTCGCAATGGCCAAGTGTGTGATCATAGCATGAGCAGAGTCGGGAGCCTGGCAAGGATGGGCTAGGCTGTGGCCTCCCACACTCACTCCCTCACACCAGCACCCACAGACGTCAGGGCCAGGCGCTCACATAGCAGCGATATCTGGGGCTTGCCATCAGGATGGGTGAGTAGCGTCTGGGCATGGAGCCCACAGGGGCAGGTGAAGGAGGAGACCAGGGCTGGTGATCTGAGGGAATAAGGAAGCCTCTGATCCCCCATGGAGGTCCTGGCCTAGACGATAGTGCTGTCAGCAGACACTGGGTTCTTCTCAGTGGGTAGGAGCCGCAGGTGGAGGTAGAGGTTTGCAAGCCTGGGTCTCCTCCTATGAGGAGAACTGGGTTTGGGACTCTATCCATGTGGGAAGAAAGCAATTCTGAAGCTTCCTCATCCCATACATCTGGAATGCCTGGTAATGGAGCTAAGCTGGGACCAGAGACCCTCACTTCTCTATTCTGATTGGAGGAGGTGGACAGGATGTGGGTGGCTTAAAGAAACAAGACATTCATCAAACCTTCTGGTGGTCCTCTCAGGTGACCAGAGTCCCCAGAGACTGAGCAGGTCCAGCTATGGTTCAATCTCCAGCCCATCTGGCCCAGCGCCCCAGCACTTGCCAGCCCAGGAAACCTACCTGAGTGAGAAGATCCCCATCCCAGAGGCCAAACAGGTGGGAAAGCTGGGTACCTACCTAGCTAGCAGGGTTGACAGGATCCTCTGGGATCTCATAGGTTGAGGGAGGGGGGCCTTGTGTGACCAGGACAAGCCTTTCCCTCTCAGAGAAGTAACACAACAGCTCCTTGCTGCTCAGATTCCTAGCACTTAGCTGGAATATTCAGTAGATAGTAGGAAATGAGCAAATGACTTTCCAAACAGATCTCAGCTTTCCTGTGAAGGAAAGGGATTAAGGTGAATTGGGATTAGCACTTTAAGATTGCTTTAACAGCTGGACCCCCAGTGATTCATACCTATAATCGTAGTTGCTCAAGAGGCTGAGATCTGAGAATCACAGTTCAAAGTCAGCCTGGACAAAAAACCTCTTTGAGATTCTTTTTGGTTGGGTTTTGTTTGTTTGTTTTTTTTTTTTTGGTCGGTCGTGGGGCCTGGGCGCTGTCCCTCAGCTCTTCAGCTCAAGGCTAGCTCTCTACTACTTGAGTCACGGTGCCACTTCTGGCTTTTTCTGCTTATGTGGTGCTGAGGAATTGAACCCAGGGCCTCATGCATGCAAGGCAAGCACTCTACCACTGAGCTACCTTCCCAGCCCTCTCTGAGACTCTTATCTCCAACTAAACACCAAAAAGCCAGAAGTAGAGTTGTGACTCAAGTGGTAGAGTGCTAGTATTGGACAAAAAAAAAAACTCAAGGACAAGACTCAGGCCCAAAGCCTAAGCCCTGGTACCAGGACACACACACACACACACACACACACACGGTAGAGAAGGAAGGAACTCTGTCACTGGCAGATTCCTAGGCTGACGGGACATGCTCACCATCCAGGTGGAGGACATGATCCGGGCTTAGCCTCCACACAGGAGTCTCCACAGAGGAGGCCTTGTGGTATGAGAAGGGACTGGACTGGGAGTAGTTGGACCCAGAAGTCTTGTCCCCACTTAGCCTGCTCTCCAGGCTCTGTGAACCTGAGTCAGGCCTAGGAGAGGCAGGAGGTCAAGTGTATTGAGCTTGCTGAGTGGGACCATGATAGAGACAGATCCAAAAGCGGATCGGTCATGACTCAACGCATCCTGCTGTGACTCTGCAATCACATGCTTCCTCTACCCACTGTCCTCCTCCAAGGCTGGGAGGGCTCAGGGCTAGCTAGGGAGGGCAGGGCCAGCCAGCCTGGGCTGGGGGGGGGGGGAGCTGGTGGGGCTCAGAAGGAGGCTGGCCATGGCCAGCTGCCACCACCACAGTACCCAGAGCCCACCCCCTCCCTCTGCTTGCACCCCCCAGGGCACATTTAGCCTACGGAAGCTGTGGGCCTTCACAGGACCTGGCTTCCTCATGAGCATCGCTTTTCTGGACCCGGGGAACATTGAGTCGGACCTTCAGGCTGGTGCTGTGGCTGGATTCAAAGTGCTGAGTTGGGATCCTGAAGGAAGGGGGAAATCAGGCTAAGAGGGTGGAGACCCCAACTTGTCCTGTGTCCTCAGGGTGGCTACAGGGATGGCTGCAATAGGCCAGAAAAGGGCCCCGTGGTAAGGGCCCAGCCAAAGGTTGGGGCTGATCATCCACTCCACCCTCCCATCCTCTCCCCGTAGAGTATCCTGGCTTTTGAGGGGCTATGTTGGATGGGCCTCCCTGGCTGACGGCCTCCTGGGCCTCTTCACAGCTGCTCTGGGTGCTGTTCTGGGCCACTGTGCTGGGCTTGCTCTGCCAGCGACTGGCTGCCCGGCTAGGCGTGGTGACAGGCAAGGACTTGGGTGAGGTCTGCCATCTCTACTATCCTAAGGTGAGCTGTGTATGTTGGGGTGGGGGGGGGAGGTAGAGAGAGGGCGACAGGAAGCCTGAAATTCTATGAATGAATAAATATATCATATGATCTTACCTGGGCTTCCCAAGTCCAACTGAAAAATGAAAAGACAGACTCAAACTACTAGTACTAATAGGCTGAGAGGGAGAGAGGAGGAAATTGCACCGAGGAGGAGTGAGAGTTCAAGATCAGCCTGGGCTACATAGTGAATTCAAGGTTATCCTAGCCTACATAGTGCAACTGTCGCAAAAAACAAAAGCCATGTGCTGGTGGCTCACTCCTGCAATCCCAGCTACTCAAGAGGCTGAGGTCTGAGGATCAAGGTAGGAAGCCAGTCCAGGCAGACTGATCTGAGAGACTTTTATCTCCAATTAACTATCAAAAAGCCAGACGTGGAGGTGAGGCTCAAGGGGTAGAACATTATCAGCCTGGAGTGAAACAGCTCAGCAAAAATGAGAACTTCTGCGTGCTGGGAAGGTGGCTCAGTGGTAGAGTGCTTTGCCTTGCATACCTGAGGCCCTGGGTTCAATTCCTCAGCACCACATAAGCAGAAAAAGCCGGAAGTGGCATTGTGGCTCAAGTGGTAGAGCACTAGCCTTGAGCTGAAGAGCTGAGGGACAGTGCCCAGGCCCAGAGTTCAGGCCCCATGACTGACAAAAATAAAAAAAGAAGGAAGGAAGGAAAGAAAGAAGGAAGGAGAGAGAAAGAAACAAACCAGAGGAGACATTAAACTTTAGGGAAGTGACTTGCTCAAGGCATCAATAGGAAGCTGTCAGCGTCAGGGTCCGGTTGGGCTGGACCCTAGGGACTCTGGACCTTGGGGACTTGGCTGCTGTCACAGCCCAGTTAGGAACACAGAAACCACAGTGCAAGATTTTTTTTTTTCAGAGGGATTTAATGTGAGAATTTAGCCATTTGACCTATGGAAGGGCTGAAAGAGCAAGGGCAGAAGATGTTAACAAATTTTAGAAAGCTCCACCCCTGGCTGGGTCAAGAGATCATTTGCTGCTGAGTTTCTAGAAGCATTTCAGCCACTGCTTCAATGAAAGCCACTACTTCTGGAACTCACATTATTTCCTGTCCTCACTGGTGCCACCAGATCAAGGGACGTAGTTTCTGTCTGCTCCAATCTCTGAATTAGTCCCTTTTCTTTGGATATGATAAAAATACACGGTGCTGGGTAGTTTGTAAAGAAGTTTAAGCTGGGGATGTATCTCAGGGATAGAGCCCTTGCCTAGTATATGTAAGGGTTCAACCCCTAGCATAGGAAGGAAGGAAGGAAGGAAGGAAGGAAGGAAGGAAGGAAGGAAGGAAGGAAGGAAGGAAGGAAGGAAGGAAGGAAGGAAGGAAGGAAGGAAGGAAAAAGGAAGTCAGGGAAGGAAGAAAAGAAGGAAGAAAGAAAGAGAAAGGGGCAAGGGGAGGGAGAGAGGGGGAGGGAGGAAGGAGGGAAGGAAGGAAGGAAAGAAAGAAAGAAAAAAGGAAGGAAGGAAGTAAAGAAGGAAGGAAGGAAGGAAGAGCAAAGTTTAATTAGCTCACAGTTCAGCATTTCCAGAGGTTCAAAAGCATAATTCTGACTTCTGCTCAGCTTCTAACGGTTCCACCCCTTCTCAGCATCTCCACACTGGGACCAGGCTTCCAGCCCGCAAGCAAAGGCTTCTCCCTCAAAGGAGTGCCACATGTAACCCACATCCAGACCACAGCAATCTCCCATTAAGCACTTCTTGCAGAACCTAATTGGAAGCCAGCTGCGAGACCATCCTGCAAATGTAGTTTGGAGGTTTCTAGCCCTGAAGTACCATGCCGAGTGTGAAAAGCCGGATGTCAGGTGAAGCAACGGTCAAATCACTGGCCCACTTTTAAGGAAGCAACGTCTCCTCCCCAGGTGCCCCGCACTCTGGTCTGGCTGACCATCGAGCTGGCCATTGTGGGCTCAGACATGCAGGAGGTCATTGGTACAGCGATTGCATTCAATCTGCTCTCGGATGGACGGTATCACCCCAGGGGCCATCCACTTATCAGTCTGGGGCTAGGGATGGTTCCTACCTCTTGCTCTAGGCCTCCTACCTTCTTGAGTCCATTTAATCCAGCTGTTGCTTCTGAGATCAAGCTGTTGCTCTCTTTCCCAGAATGTAAGGTGACTTGGGTAAAGTCACATGGGTGGGAGCCACACAGCTGGCAGGATTGAAACCCAAGACTCTCTGGTCCCCAAGCTGGCTTTGCTCTTTCTGGAATGTTCCTGCCATTTTCAGCACACCTCCTCTCCCTTGGGGCCCCTGCTCCCACCCCCCTCGGGGGTCGGGCATTCCGGGCAGGGGAGCAGATGGGGCTGGCTGACTCAGGCCACTGTGGTTTCAGAATCCCGCTCTGGGGTGGCGTCCTGTTCACAATCGGGGACACGTTCTTCTTCCTGTTTCTGGATAGCTACGGTAAGGGGAGGCCAGCTTCACAGGAGTGGGACCAGGAAGTCCCAGGGAGCACAGCTGGGGACAGCTACCCCCTCCACTGGGGAAGGGGGGGACACTTTGGCTCCCTCCCTCCCTGGCCGTGTGGCGGGAGCAAGGACTGGGCTTCTGGGAAAAGCATCGCACAGCCTTTTGGGGCTGTGGTGAAGCTTCAGGAAGGTAATATATGTAAAGCTCTTGGCTAGCTGCCTGGAACAGAGAGCTCCAAATATTAGCCATTAGCAATTGTTTACCTTGCAGGTTTTTGATTTGTCTTGTGCCTTCTGCTCCTTGGCCCTGCCTTTAGGGTTGCGGAAGCTGGAAGCTTTCTTTGGATTTCTCATTACCATTATGGCCGTGACCTTCGGCTATGAGGTTGGTGTTGGCATCGCACTATCCCCTGGCATCCCTCCCCTCCCTTCCCTTCTGGGCGGCCTGAGGCCGGGGGACAGCGGCCCAGGGCCCAGTCCCTAAGCAGCTGGGATGAGGTGCGGGATGAGTGGTGTCAGCTACTTTGTCTTGAGTGGGCTGATCAGGTTCCTCCCCACAGTACGTGGTGGCCCGCCCTGCTCAGGGAGCACTCCTCCGGGGTCTGTTCCTGCCCTCCTGCCGGGGCTGCGGTCAGCCTGAGCTTCTGCAAGCCGTAGGCATCGTTGGGGCCATCATTATGCCCCACAACATCTACCTGCACTCAGCCTTGGTGAAGGTGAGCCCAGGAGAGAGGAGGTGGAGACGCTCTCTCCTTTACAGCTCGGCTAGCCATGTCTCCAAGATGGAGGCCCCCCTCTTGGCTCCTTTTAAAATTTAGGTGAGAGGGACTGGGAAGGTGGCTCAGTGGTAGAGCGCTTGCCTTGCATGCCTGAGGCCCTGGGTTCGATTCCTCAGCACCACATAAGCAAAGAAAAAAGCCGGAAGTGGCGCTGTGGCTCAAGTGGTAGAGCACTAGCCTTGAGCTGAAGAGCTGAGGGACAGCGCCCAGGCCCAGAGTTCAGGCCCCACGACCGGAACCAAAATAAATAAATAAATAAATAAATAAACAAGAAAATTTAGGTGAGAAATGAATCCCTAGCTATTCAAACTAGAATGATGCTGGAAGCTGGGGGCTAATATGTTAACATTGAAAATAGTCAAGTCCCCGCCGCTCTGAGAACTTGCATTCTAGTGGGGGATAGGGGAGGGAGAGCGTGGATTATAAAAGGTACTGTCAAGGAGATAAAACAGATGTGTGAAAGACCGGGACTGGACAAGGCAAAGCTATTGGAAGCAGAAGGAATGGGGAATGCAAAGACCCTGAAGCAGAAACAAACCAGGCGGGTTTCAGGATACAGCACGGCCAAGGAGAGGGAGCTTTTAGGGGCTGAGTTAAAGGGATCCCAAAGGCCAGTCTTGCTCATCACATGGTTGATCACTGTGGACCAGGACTCTGGCAAGGGCAAAGATGAGAAAAGAACTGGCTTGCTGGGCACCAGTGGCTCACGCCTGTAATCCTACCTACTCAGGAGGCTGAGATTTGAGGATCACGGTTTGTAGACAGCCAGAAAAGTCCCCATGAGACTTTTATCTCCAATTAACCACTCAAAGACCTGAAGAGGAGCTGTGGCTCAAAGTGGTAGAGCACTAGCCTTGAGCAAAAGAGCTCAAGGACAGAGCCTAGGCCTTGAGTTCAAACCCCACAATTAACACACACACACACACACACACACACACATTTGGCTTACCAGCGCCTGCCTCATGCTGCCCCATGAGAAACTTTAGAAGGAACAGGGCTTGGCACCAGTGGCTCATGTCTGTAATCCTGGCTACTCAGGAGGCTGAAATTTGTAGACTGTGCTTTGAAGCCAGGATAGTCAGACAAATCTGTGAGACTCTAATCTTCAGTTAGCCAGGAAAATTCCAGAAGGGGAAGTGCGGATCAAGTGGTAGAGTATCAGCCTTGAGAGGAAAAGCCAAGAGGAGATGAGGTCCTGAGTTCAAGCCTAGGACTGGCACACAGGCACAGATGGACACACACACACACACACACACACACACTCACACACACACACACAGGGGATTGGAGGGAACAAGGATAGAAGTGTGAATGTAGGGACACTTTGGATGCCTCTGAAGGACACTTCTGTCACTCTCTGACCTTCATAGACTCGGCAAATAGACCGAGCCCGTCGGGGGGACATCCGGGAAGCCAACATGTACTTCCTGATTGAAGCCACCATCGCCCTGTCTGTGTCCTTCATCATCAACCTCTTCGTCATGGCTGTCTTTGGGCAGGCCTTCTACCAGCAAACCAACCAGGATGTGGTGAGGCACACTTCCAGCCCTATCCACCTGTTGCTCCCCCCCCTCCCTCCCCCCAGGTGGCTGAAAAGCTGGAGAGTCATGAAGTGTGAGGAAGAGGAAGTGTGAGGAAGAGGAGGTTATGGGGCATCAGAAGTCTCTGTTGGCAACACCAGCTCTTATAATCTGAGACAGGCTGGCAACCGAGTTGCCAAAGGAATTCTTCTCCACTTTAAACGCTGGCCACAAATTATATTAAAGAACAAAACAAAACTGCCAGGTGGCAGTGGCTCATGCCTGTAATCCCAGATACTGAGCTCTGAGGATCACAGCTGGAAGCCAGATGGGCAGAAAAAGTCTGTGGGATTCTTATCTCTCATTAATCACCAAAAAGATGTAAGTGCTGTGGTCCAAGTGCTACAGCGCCAGCCTTACGCGAAAAAGCCAAATGAGAGTGTAAGGTCCTGAGTTCAAGCACCAGAACTGGCACGCAGAAAAAAAGAAAAAAACAAATAAAAAACCCCTACTGGGCAAAGTGTGCCTGCCCAGATCCTCCAGGTTTGACGCGTCTAGCTGAGTGTACCTCCCCTCTCCCTCCCACCGGCCCCGGGGACTGCAGTCCAACGTCTGTGCCAACAGCAGCCTCCACGACTATGCCAAGATCTTCCCCAGGGACAACAACACAGTGTCGGTGGACATTTACCGTGGAGTAAGCCCGAGTGTGGGGGCGTGGCCACGCCACGGTCCGCCTACTTCGGGGCGGGGTCGGTGGCAGGAGGGCGGGGCCTCGTCCTGACCACACCCTCGTCCCTCCAGGGTGTGATCCTGGGCTGCCTCTTTGGCCCCGCAGCGCTCTACATCTGGGCTGTGGGTCTCCTGGCCGCAGGGCACAGCTCCACCATGACGGGCACATACGCGGGACAGTTCGTGATGGAGGTGGGCAGGGAAAAGCCACGGGCACAGGTCAACAGGCAAACTCCTGGGGGGGGGGAGGGGTGTCCATATACCCGCCTTGCCCATCCCAAAAGCAACCCAGAGGGTGCGCCCATTAGCCCCACTTTACAGACGAGAAAATGGAGCGGCAGATAGTATGACAAGCAGAGAGCCCTTTCCCCCAAACTGGCTAAGTTTGCGCCATGGCTGGGGAGGAGTGTTGTGGAAAGAATTCCCTCTCCAACTAGGGTCAGAGCTGCCCTCCACTTCAGAACAGAAACACTCTGGGCTGAGATGACAGATCCTCCCTCCTGTGGAGTCCCTGATCCTGTCCCTGTCCCCGCTCCAGGGCTTCCTGAGGCTGCGCTGGTCCCGCTTTGCCCGGGTCCTCCTAACCCGCTCCTGTGCCATCCTGCCCACCGTGCTTGTGGCTGTCTTCCGAGACCTGAGTGACCTGTCAGGCCTAAACGACCTGCTCAACGTGCTTCAGAGCCTGCTGGTGAGACTGGGGTCCAAGGAGGAACATGGCAGCCTTCCCCAAATGGAGCTTGGGAGAGGGGGACATTCAGGCCAGCCTCCATCCTAAACGCACTGTGCTTGAACTGAGCCACACCTCTACTTGTAGATTTTTTTTGCTGGTTAATTCTAAATAACAGTCTCTTTGACTGGGATCCTCTCATCTTAGTCTCCTGAGTAGCTACGATTACAGGTTTGAGCCACTCACACCCTGTTACCATCCTTTTTTTTGGTCAGTTGTGGGCCTCAAACTCTGGGCCTGTCTATCCCTGAGCTCTTCAGCTCAAGGCTAGTGCTCTACCACTTTGAGCTATAGCACCACTTCCGGTTTTCTGGTATTTACCTGAAGATAAGTCTCACGGACTTTCCTGCCTGGGCTGGCTTTGAACCTGGATCCTTAGATCTCCTGCATAGCTAGGATTACAGTCCTGAGCTACTAGCACCCTGCTACCATCCTCATTTTTCAGAGCCTCTACATTTTGTCTTCTGCTCAGAAAGCATAGACAAGAGAAGATAGGCTCAAAGTGCGTAAGGCACTTAGTACAGCCATCCATGAAAAGGAGGATCCCCCCCTCTCCACCTCCCTCTTCTCTCTTCTCCCCAGCTTCCCTTTGCTGTGCTGCCCATCCTGACCTTCACCAGCATGCCTGCCATCATGCAGGAGTTTGCCAACGGCCGGTGGGTATCCTCACCACCAGCCTGAGGGAGGAACTACGGTCCTGATCTACGGGAAGCAAAAAAGCCTCAGAGAGGTCAAGAACTTACACACGGGGTCACACAGCTTTTGAATTTGGAGCTGAGGCCTGTTTCTAGAGCCTGTTTCAAGAGCCTGAGCTCCCCCTGTAAGGGCAGTTTCTAGGCTCTCTGGTCCCTGGAATCCCAGACTAGGACCTGCAGGGAGCAGCCGCCATGGAGATGGTTACGGAATGTTGCCTAGCCCTTCCCTGCAGCGTGTGTGTGCTGTACTTGAAAGGAGCCTGGATTTCTCAGAGAAGACTATGGCAGCACAGAGATGAGGGTTTTGTGTGTCCCTGTTCTTGGCTAGGGGCACTGGTGTTAGAGGGGGGAGAAGAGGACGCAGGTGACTCAAGAGTCTCAGCCAGTCAGTCCTGAGTCTCTCTCCTGTCCCCTAGGCTGAGCAAGGCTGTCACTTCCGGTATCATGGCCCTAATCTGTGCCGTCAACCTCTACTTTGTGGTCAACTACGTGTCCAACCTCCCGCACCCTGCCTACTTCGGCCTTGTAGCTGTGCTGGCTGTAGCCTACCTGAGCCTTATTACCTACCTGGTACTGGGCGGGGGGTGGGGGGGGTAGGGAAGCTGGGGGGGTGGGGGGGGGAGGGAAGCTGGGGGGTGGGGGGGAGGGAAGCTGGGGGGGAGGGAAGCTGGGGGGGGAAGCTGGGGGGGGAGGGAAGCTGGGGGGGAGGGAAGCTGGGGGGGAGGGAAGCTGGGGGGGAGGGAAGCTGGGGGGGAGGGAAACTGGGGGGGAGGGAAACTGGGGGGGAGGGAAACTGGGGGGGAGGGAAGCTGGGGGGGAGGGAAGCTGGGGGGGGAGGGAAGCTGGGGGGGGATCTGGGAGGGAAGCTGGGGGGAGGGAAGCTGGGGGGAGGGAAGCTGGGGGGGATCTGGGGGGGGGATCTGGGGGGGGATCTGGGAGGGAAGCTGGGGGGGGGATCTGGGAGGGAAGCTGGGGGGGGGACCTGGGAGGGAAGCTGGGGGGGGGTCCTGGGAGTGGAGAAAGCAAAAGGAGAGTCTGGGCTTCCTCACAGTTCTTCACTCTTCCACTCATGGTTGCTCCTTCTCCAGGCCTGGACCTGTTGCATCGCCCATGGAGTTGCCTTTCTGAGCCACAGCTCACACCAGCACTTCCTATATGGGCTCCCTGAAGGGGAGTAAAAGGATGGGAAGAGCTCTGAGTGAGCCCCTCGGCAGGGAAGTAGAATGAGGGGCACTGGCCTGCTAGACATGGAGGCAGCAAGATGGAGCAAGACACTTGGAGGCTCACCAACCTCGCCTTACCTTTTCTACTTCAAACAAGTGCTTACCCTCTAGGTCTCATTGGGAACTACACGGACTTGCCATGGACGTAAAATGTTTTAATATAATACTCCACACTCGGCACTTAAACATCAGTCACAAATATTTATTTGGTCAGTGTCAGTAATCCTAACACTCAGGATACTGAGGCAGGATGGCAAAGCAAAGGTCAGCCTTTGGGAATGTGGTTTAGTGGTAGAGTGCTTGCCTAGCACGCATGAAGCCCTAGGTTCAATTCCTCAGTACCACATAAACAGAAAAAGCCAGAAGTGGTGCTTGTGGCTCAAGTGGTAGAGTGCTGGCCTTGAGCAAAAGAAGCTCAGGGCAGTGCCCAGGCCCCAGATCTGGCCAAAGGGGGGCGGGCAATCAGTACCTAGAAGGTGAACTGACAGACCCTGGGGACACAGGACCGGACTGGAACTTTAAATGATCATTGCTTAGGAAATGTTAGCTGCCTGAAGGGCTGGGAAGGAAACCCCAAAAAGCACAAAATCTAAAGTTGCTCCTACTCTCAGCAGTTTCTCCAGTGTGCCCACAAACCCATTTTCTTTTTTTTTCTTGGTCAGTCGTGTGGCTTGGACTGTGGGCCTGGGCGCTGTCCCTGTGCTCTTCAGCTCAAGGCTAGCACTCTATCACTTGAGCCACAGCACTACTTCTGGCTTTCCGGTGGTTTATTGGAGATTAAGAGTCTCACAGACTTCCTGCCCAGGCTGGCTTTGAACTGCGATCCTCTCAGATCTGAGCCTCCTGAGTGGCTAGGATGACAGACGTGAGCTACCAGAGCCAGCTGCAAACCCATTTTCTAGGCAGGAAAACTAAGGTTCTCTCTCCTTCCGTACCAGGTCATAAGGAACCCAAGAGTCCGTGCCTTCGAGGCCTAGTTCTTTAGCCATCAGAGGGGATGGGGGGTCGGACTGCCACACTGCGCCTTCAAGGCTCGCTCGGCTCTGACTCCCAGCTCCCTCTAGGGGCAGGGACTGTCCCCAGCTCGGGCCCTCCTGCCAGGGCCTCACCACTGCGGACCACACTGGGGAGAAGGCGCTGACGCCCCTCTCCTAGGCGCCGCAGACTCCACCTCCACTGGGGGAGGAGGAGGGGTTAGCTGCGTGGGCGGGGAACCCCCTTCACTCCTGGGAGCGGCCGGGCACACCTTCGCCCTAAGCACAACCCGTACTTTACAGACGCTCCCTGAGCAGTTTCTAGGCTCCCCTGAGTCCCTCCTCCTCCTCTAGACTCTTCAGGTCCCTGGAACCCCGGGCTAGGACCTGCGGGGAGCAGCGGCGGCGGGGTGCCGTCCAGTCCTTCCCCAGAGTTAAAGCTGGTGTGGGTGCGGCCCTTGAAAGCAGCCTCGATTTTTCGGGGACCCAGCTGGGCTCCGTGCTCTGACTGGGCGCTTGTTTATGAGAAGAATTTCCTCTTTCTTAAAAGGGCAACAGGAAGGTGGGGCCCACAAGGGGGAGAAAGGCTGGGACAGGTCTGGCGCTACTGGAGCCAGTGTAAGAGAGTGACCGGGCAAGAGGGCTGCCCACCACGGCTTTCAGGTCTTATCCCTGGAGAAAGAAGATGGGGCCCCAAGACAGCTGAAGAAGGGGAGTGGAGGGAGGGGAGCGAAGAAAGGCATTTCTCTCCCAGATCCCGTCTTCAGTTTCCCTAAATGCCCCCATCTGCACCTGATGTGCACCTCTCTATTTCTGATCATTCTCTGCGTTACTTGGGTGCCAAGTCCTGTGCTGGAGGTGGAGGGAGGCCAAGTGCTGTACTAGACAGAGGCTGTCAGCTGTCAAGGCGCTCCTGCTGGCGCTTGAGAGCTAAGAAAACAGGCACCAGTCACTACCTGGCTCTGTGTGTGTGTGTGGGGGGGGGTGCTGGTCCAGGACTCGAACTCAGGGCCTGGGCACTGTCCCGGAACTCCCCACCCCCCACTTCAATGCTAGTGCTCTTTCCATTTGAGCCACAGCTCAAATGTTGGGGGGGGGGGTGTTGGGAAAATAGAGGAGATGGGAAAAGGAATAGGCTGGACTGGATCCTCAACAGCCAAGAACTGTTTATTGAGGAACAGCCAGGGTCACAGGCCTTCCTGCAGGTTTGGAAGTTGTGCAAGGGACTGGATTTGGGGGGTGGGCTTCTATAAGGCTTAACAAGGAAGCAGAGAATAAAACTCCTTGGGAACAAGAGCACTGTCCTTGGCCCAGCCCACAGAGGAATGCTGGGTGTGGGGGCTGTTGACTTCTGGGGGGGTCAAGCTCAGAATGACCTGCCTGTGGACAAGCACCTGAGCACATACCTGGTACTTTGCTTGACCCTGGGGAATAAGGCAGGACTCAGTTCTTCAGGGGAGCAGGGCTTTAAACCATGATCTTCAGATCTCAGCCTCCTGGGTCCCTAAGATCACAAGGTATCCAGCCCTGGGCTCCATGGGATTTTGAAAGCTAAACAGAGTAGGACAGAGGGCTTTCTGGTGAGTGGCAAATGCAGGGCCGTCCTCTGGGGAGTTTTCAGATTTGGTGGGGCAGAGGGACCAGGGTGGATGGGCTGTGCAAAGGAACAGTTAAGCCAGGGATTTAGGACTTGGGCTCCGGAAGATAAGGAGGGCCAGAAAAAGAGGTTTGCTCTGGGCCTAGGGCAAGGGTTAGTGATGAGGTCAGGCCAAGGTCAGTCACTTCCCATCGGAAAGGCCAGGGTTTGGTTCTGGTCCCCGGGCTTCCAGTGGAACTTGAGGGTGGGGAGCCGCGGTGGTTCTCCTGCAGCCTATCCTCCACCTGGATCCCAGGGTGAGCAGGGGGTCTGGCCACCCCCCAGGAGCCTGCTAGGGGCCCCCTGGGCTGCCTTTCTGCCCTTTCCCGGGCCTGCGAGGCAGGTGCTAAGCGCAGGTGCTGGCTGGAGACCCTGGTCCACCAGATCCGGCTACTTCCCCACCGTTCCTTCCCCTCGTAGCTTCACCTCTCCTCTTCCTGGGGAAGCAAACCCACTAGACAACGACCTAGGAAGAGATTCAGTGGGTAAAGCTACCCTCTGCTGTTGGGGTGGGCCCAGCCTCTCGACTCCTACCCAATGACACTCCTACCCAAAGGGCTCTCAGCAGATGCCTGAGCCTGGGCTGTCCCCACTGGGAACAGACCCATCTCAATGAGGGCTTTCAGGGGTGACAATGGGGGGGTGCTGGCAGTACCCCTAGACACCCCTGGCTTAGGGTGGCCAGTTTGTGAATGGCGCCAGGGATGCAGCAGCCCTTGCCCGGTCCAGGGCTGTCCCCGGGAAAGCAAGCTGGGATCCCGACCTTTCACCTAGAGAGAGGAAGGCGGCCGCCCTGCCCAGCCCCGGGGTCACACTTCCTTTCGGGGCCGGTGCGGGCCGAGCATCCGGATACGGGGCTGAGGCGCCACCCGCCGGCCGCGCGGGGCACGGCGCTCCGCCGAGGGGGGCGGCCCCGGCCTCGGCGCTGCTCTTCCGGGACCTCAGTTTTCTTATCTGCGAAATGGGACGCGAACCGGGGTCGTTCTACCGGGCACACGAGAGAGGGGGACGCCGACGGGGCCTGAGGACATGCTGGCGGTGAAGACGACTCAATGCAATGATGGGAGTCTGCGTGCGCCGCCGGACTGAGTGCACCCGGGGCCCGGCCTCGGGGACACGAGCGCGCCCCGGGGTGGAGGCTGGCGCGCGCGCCCCACCCCGCCTGCGGCTCCCCCTCGGCGGGGCCCGGAGGACGTGCGCCGCGCGCTGGCACCCGGAGGCCGGACGGGACGGGACGCACCCGCCGCGCCGCCCCGCCCTGCGCGCGGAGGCCTGGCGGAGGGGGAGGTGCCCGGCGAGCCTGTCGGGGCTTGGCGTTATTAGTATTTTAAAAACTGCGGACACACAGGGCTGGCGACGGCTCAGGGAACTTCAGAAACCAGCGTTTTTGTTTTGGGTTGTTTGTTTTGAAGATGTAGCCGGGCACCTGTGAGACCTGCGGGTCGAGGTTCGAAACCAGCCCGGGCAGGAAAAGTCTGTGGAGACTCTGCAAGTAACCATCCAAAAACCAAAAGTGGAGCTGTGGCTCAAGTGGTAGAGCGCCAGGCCTTGAGCGCAAAGAGTGAAGGGGCACCGGCCCAGCCCCGAGTTCATAGCCCCAGACTCGGGCGCTTCCCGTGGGAGGACCTCGTGCGCAAATGCGGAGCCCCGGCCGGCGCTGCCGCTGCAGGCTGCGCAGAGCGCTCGGGACCCGGGCCGCCGCAGGGCCGGACGCCGTCCGGCGATCCCGACGCGGCCGGGGTCTCGGGGGGAGGAGGAGCTCGCAGGGGTGGGGCCTCCTCCAGCGCCGCCCGGGGGAGGGACGGACGCGCGACAGGTGAGGCCGTCTGGAAAGGTAGGCGACGCCGAGCGTGCCTGGACACGGACTTGGATTTTTCACATTCTAGAGACTCCGATTACCTCGCCCCCGAGACCGGTGGGCGGTGACGGTCACCTTCAAGTCGAGAGCGTTACTTTGCGGGCTTGGCACGGCTTCCTCGCTCACGACCTCCCCGCGAGCGCTGGACGCGAAGCCCCACTTCTCAGATAAGTTAGCACTACCCTCCTTCCCCAGGAGCAAACCTCGGAAAGGCTGGGTTCGCGCCCTCGGGCCCAGGCGCCGCCCTCGGGCCCGCCCCGGCGCGGGCGCCCCGGGCGGGCGAGCGGGCGGGCCGAGGCCCTCGGCGCTCCTCCGCCCCGACTGTGGGCTGAGTCCTGGCCCTATCACGCAGCCGCAGAAGCTGCGCCGGGCGGCAGGAAGGGAGGCGACGCCCCCTGGACCGCGGCAGGAACCCGGCCCGCCTCCCCGCCCGCGGAGTCGCCCGAGCCCCAGAAGTGATGAGAGCCGCGGCCGAGGCCAGGTCACGCCGAAGCCGTTGCCCTTTTAAGGGGGAGCCTTGAAACGGCGCCCGGGTTCCATGTTTGCATCCGCCTCGCGGGGAGGAAACTCCATGTTGTAACAAAGTTTCCTCCGTGCCCCCTCCCTCCCCCTCCCCCTTAGAACCTGGCTCCCCTCCCCTCCGAAGCTCGCGGGGATCCCTCCCTCCCAACCCTCCCCTCCCCCCCGCGCCCCGATTCCGGCCCGAGCCGGGGGGGAG